GGAGAGAGGATCCACTCTGTCTTGCCTGCTATTCAAGCTTCCTGTGTTTAGTCAATTTGCCTCCTCTCACTCTTTTTTCAGATGGAGTATTATTATATAGTAGATGGGCTTTCCAATTTTTTCATAATAGCCAAGTTCTGCTCTTTCCCCTGAGATCACACTCAAGTTTATCTGAGTGGATATTGGATAATGATCTTGGCTTGACACTATTTTCATTTGAGAAGAATTGTATTCTGCTGGAGGTGATGGTGTGTTCTATAAATATTGGTTAGATCCAATTGATTGATGGTGATCAGTTCTTCTATTATATCTTTGCTGATTTTCTGTCTACTTGTACCTATTACTGAAAGAGGGATATTGATAATCTCCAACTATAGTTCTAGGTTTATCTATTTCTCCTTTCAGTTTATTTTCATTTGAGAAGAATTGTATTCTGCTGGAGGTGATGGTGTGTTCTATAAATATTGGTTAGATCCAATTGATTGATGGTGATCAGTTCTTCTATTATATCTTTGCTGATTTTCTGTCTACTTGTACCTATTACTGAAAGAGGGATATTGATAATCTCCAACTATAGTTCTAGGTTTATCTATTTCTCCTTTCAGTTCCAACAACTTTTTATTAATCTTATTCATGATAGAGAGTGCATGCATGGGAGTGAGACAGAGAGAGAGAGGCACCCTCAACAAGGTCAATCCATGCTGTGATTCCCTTCCTTACCCCAGCCCTCCAGCTCATCAGGATCTTGGGCATGCATGCTTGTTCCTGGCAAATTTCAGATCAACCAGGCCGGGCAACTGAACTTGCAAGTGGCCACATAGCATCCTGCACTGCAGTTTGGTTCACTACTAACTGCTGCAGACGCTGGGCTGGTTCTGACAACTTTTGCTTTGTATATTTTATTTTATATTTTTAATTGCCAGCAGGCACGTGCACTCATTCAAGAGAGACAGAAAGACAAAGAGAGGGAAAAAGCACTCCCCAGTGGGGAGCTCCTTCTCCTTCACAATTCCTTCTCCTCCATCTCTTCATCCCACTGGGATTTTGGACACACACGCACATGCACCTGGCATATTTCTCAAGCCATTGGGGCTGGGATCTGAACCATGGTTGGCCATGTGGATCCAGCTGCTTAACCATGAAGCTGTGGAGCTGGCCCTGCTTTGTGTATTTTAAAGTTCTGTTGTTAAAAACATACATATTTAGGATTACTGTCCTTTTTAAAAATTTGCTTATTTATGTATTTCTTTTAATTTAACCAGAGAGAGACAGAGAGAGAGAAAGTGAGAAAGCAAGCTGCCAGGTCCGGGACTCAAACTGCTCGGTCACGTGGGAGCCCAGTGCCTTAACCACCATGTCACCTACTGGCCCCAGGATTACTGTCTTGGAAAAAAAAATAATTTCTATAGGGTGTGTGTGCTTGCCAGAGAGAGAGAGAGAGAGAAAGTGAAAGAAGAAAATGAGAAAGCACTGCCCAGTGGTGCAGTCCCTTCCCCATGTTCTTCTCAGGATTTCAGTCACGCATACATGCACATGTGCCTGGTGTGTTTTTCAAGCTGCCAGGTCTGGACTCAAACCATGCAGTTGCTCATGTGGGACCCAACCACCTTCACCACACCACCTGGCTGGCCCAGGATTGCTATATCTTCTTAGTGAATTGACCACGGTCGATATGTAATACCCCTCTTTGTCCCTGAAATCATTATTCCCTCATATCTAATATGTCATTTTTCTTTTATTGCTTTCAAGCATTTTATTTTTTAACCTTTTTTTAACTTTATTTATTTTATTTATTTATCTTAATTTAACCAGAGAGGGACAAAGAGAGAGAGAAAGTGAGAAAGCAAGCCGCCAGGTCCAGGACTCAAACCACGGTCGGCCACGTGGGAGTCCAGTGCTTTTAACCACCATGCCACTTGCTGGCCCCTCAGGCATTTTATTTGACTTTAGTTTCAGCACTCTAATTCTGATGTGTCCAGGTGCGATGTGAGTTTCTTTGGGTTTACTCTGTTTTAAATTTGTTCAGCTTTTAAAGTCTATAGTTCTATGCTTTTCCTCAAACTTGGGGAGTTTTGAACTATGCAATCTTTAAATATTATTTTGGCCCTATACTCTTTCTTCTTCTCTAAGAATCCAATGACATATCAGCCCTTTTGTTGTCCCCTGGATCTCTGAGGCTCTGTCCCTTCTCTTTTCCAATCTTTCTTCTCTGAAATTCAGGTTGGATAATTTCTTTCTTCTATTATCTATTCTGTTATCTAGTCCACCCAGTGAGGTTTTTATTTTATTTTTCAATTCAAAAGTTTTTCTTTGGTTATTCTTTTTTTTTTTTTTTTGGAAAGGTTTTGCAATAGGACATGTGCGCTCGCCAGAAAGACAGAGAGAGGGAGACAGAAAGCGAGAAATCACCTTCCAGGAGGGATGGCCAGGCTGCAATCCCTAGTCCTCCATTTTCCTCTCGGAATCTTGGGCACACACGCACATGCACCCGGCGTGAGTTCAACCCACCGGGTCCTGGACTCAAACCACGGTTGACTACATGGGAGTCCAGTGACATAGCCATTATGCCAACTGCTAGTCCCTCTTTTGGTTATTCTTTTTTTTTCTTTTTTTTTTGGTGGGTAGATTTTTGCTAGTAGGGCACGTGCACTCACCAGCCAGACAGAGAGAGACATAGAGACAGAAAGCGAGAAATCACCCCCCAGGGGGGATGGCCACGCCGCAATCCCTTCTCCTCCATTCTCCTCTCGGGATCTTGGGCACGCACGCACATGCTCCTGGCGTGAGTTTTAAGCCACCAGGTCTGGGACGTGAACCGCGGTCAACTACATGGGAGTCCAGCAACATAGCCATTATGCCAACTGCTGGTCCCTCTTTTGCTTATTCTTTATACTTTCATCTTCTATACTTCTACAACTATTTTCTATTTTGAGTTTTGTTTCAGACTGTTGATAACTTATTTTAATTTTTGCAAATGCTGTTTTTTTCAGTCTTTGTTGAATAATTCCAGTATCTGTGCTATCCCATTTTTAGCATCTTGATTATCTTTTCCTATGTCAGTTGAAATTTCCATAGTTCTTTGTGTTGATGAGTAATTTTGGATTGTGTTCTAGACACTGTTTATTTTTTATTTTTCCAGAATGCATGTGCACTCAACAGAGCGAGACAGAGAAAGAGAAGACAGTACCCCACATGAGGAATGGCTACACATCAATCCCTTCTCCTCCATTTTCTTCATCTTGTCAGGACTTTGGGCACACATGCACATGCATCTGGCATGTTTCTCAAGCTGCCAATTCCAGGATGCAAACTGTGGGGTCAGCCATGTGGAATTCAGCTACTTTAACCACCTGACTATTAAGCCAGATCCACATTATTTATTTGTATAGAGTTCCACTGTCACAACCTTCCTGCCTTAGGTTCCTAGCTGAGACCACAGGCATGTGTCGCCACACCTGGTTTATTATTATTTTTTTTTTGGAGAGGTTTTCGCTATAGGGCGCATGCACTCGCCAGAAAGACAGAGAGAGATAGAGAGATAGAAAGCGAGAAATCACCCCCCAGGGGGGATGGCCACGCCACAATCCCTTCTCCTCCATTCTCCTCTTGGGATCTTGGGTACCCACGCATATGCGCCCAGCGTGAGTTTAAGCCACCGGGTCTAGGACTTGAACCATAGTCGACTATGTGGGAGTCCAGCGACATAGCCATTACACTAACTGCCTGTCCCAACACACCTGGCTATTTTAAAGACAGAGTCTTGTTATGTTGCTTATGTCAGATTCCAGCTTGCAGTCCTCCTGTCTCAGCCTCCCAGTGCCTGGCCTTTAGGTTGGACCGAGAATTGAACCCAAGTCTCCCATTTGGTCCCAGCCTGTGTAGCACAATGTCCATGTACCACCATGACTGGGCCCTAATCTATGCATTTTGGATATCATGTTATGAGCCCCTGAGCCTTGTTTAAATCCTTTGGAGTATGTTGTTATGTTTGTCTTGAGAGCTAATGTGCATGTTTAGGTTCAGGCCACAAGTTTCAGCCTGCTTTCTATTAGGATCTGTCCCATGTGTGCCACTCAGTGGTCAGCCTGGGACCTAGAAGGAGTTCTGTCCCTTAGCTCTACTGTCACAGTCTTTGTTATGCTAATTAGAACCCAATCCAGGTGTGTACAAATTGAGGATGAGCCTAGAAATCCTCAATAGCTTTCTGGGGTTGCATTCTGAGTCACTGCCCTTTCCTTGTCTCTCAGTTCTTTCCAGTTTCCTGGAGGTCATTTTCATTCCTCCAGTCAGAAACCCCCATTTCTATGACTGCATTGTTGCTGGAGCCAAGCAACAGGAGGACAGAGATAGAGAAAACGTAAGAGCAACAGGCCCAACTTTGGTGGTGCAGATGGTAGTGTCATGAACAGCAGTGCTGGAAGCCATGTGACTGGCTACAGATTCATATCTGTGTAGACCTGAAACACACCAGGTGTGTGTACATGCCCAAGATGCTGGAGGGCTAAGGGAAGGGCACTGCAATGTGACATCGCTCTGTCGAGAGTGCCCCCCCCACACACACACACATATACACACATATACACACGTGTGCATACTATGTCATGAGCAATAATTTTTTTAAAAGAGCAGACTAGCCCCAGAGCACAGCTGTTAAGTGTGCTCCCACATGGCCAACCACAGTTCATATCCCAGCTCCAGCAGCTTGAAAAACACATTGAACACATGTGCAGGTGTGCCCCAAATCCTGACAGGATGATGAAATGGAAGGAAAAGGATTGCTAGTTGGGAAAGTGCTCTCTCTCTCTCCAGCGAGCACTTGTGTCCTGTAGCAAATTATATAGATATAGATATATACACACACATCTATGAGAAACCAAGATTAGAATTATATAATAATTGCCTTGATTTAAACACTGGAACAGATCCCTGGGGAGAAAGGGTGGAGTAGTGCCTGGGACAAGAGGCTATAGGACTGAGTTCAATGCTCTTCATTTTTGTAGGCACCATGGCTGAGGAAACAGCCCCAGCAGTTCTCGAGAGGCGCCAAGGGTCCCTGTACTCCCTCTTTCCTGACCACCACGTGAAGAAGTACTTTGGCCAAGTGGACATCTCCAATGGTTTGGATTGGTCCCTAGACCACAAGATCTTCTATTATATCGACAGCCTGTCCTACTCGGTGGATGCCTTTGACTATGACCTACATACAGGACAGATCTGTATGTACTTTTCCCTTGTTTTTCTCAATACTGCTAGTAATGTTTGTGTATGCCCATGATTAGTAAGGCACCTCTCCCTTAACCTTGTGAGGAGGTCCTTACTTATCAAATGGAGAGCTTTCCAAGGTTATTATTCCAGCATAGTAACAAATAAACAGACTTGATGGTGTTGCCAGTCAAACCATGGCCACAAATGCAGAAATAATTCGCTTAATATGGATAGGCTCATAATCTTCCTTGACACCATCACTAGAAAGGATTTCACTGTAACATGATCCTGTTGTACCAGGAGATGCCTGAAGGCAAATAATATATAACAGAAAGAAATAAAAGAGCATAAAATTAGAATTTTAGGTTAATATTGAGTCATCAGAAAAGTCATGACACATTTTGTATGGAAAAGCATAGAAAAATACATCATGACTTTTCCAATGACCCAGTATTTCTTATTTGTACTTTAATTAGCCATAGGCAAATTCTCAGAGGCAAATTAAAACCATTCAAAATGGAAAATCAGAAAAAGTGGTTCCAGGTTGTTCAGTCCCATCAATGTGCTTTAAATGAGCCATAGTTGCAAACCAAAGGAGGGAGGAATCAGTTAGAAGAATTTAGAAGGGAGTCCTTCAAACTGTTTCATGAAAAGGGCCAAACCAAAACAGCAAAACCAATAATAAAAATGACTTGAAAAAACCAGCATGACTCTCCATGCAGATTTAATCAGAGGCAAAATATTCCAGCACAGATGTTTTACTTTCAAATATGTAGTGGTCTTTTTTATGACTGTTTTTACCCATTTTTCCTTACACATGGTTTTAACATTTTTCCATTACACCTCAACCCGATTGCTATAGTGACCTGGATTTTGTAGCATAAAGTTCCCCTGGATTTTTCTATTTGTTCTTTGTCTACTGTGATTTTCCCCCTTTAAGGCCAGCTCATTTTTGCTTTCAGAATACCCCTCCTTTCAGCAGCAAGCTCTTCTAATATGTAATTTTTATTTTTCAGCACTTATCTTACTAAGTTTGGTGCCTGAACTATTCACATGGCATCATTAAGTTGCCTTACAGATCTTGGAGTTAACCAAAGTAGGCATTTTTGTAACAAAAATAGCAAAGGTTTAACCACATACTGAAGTTTATCTGAGATGAGCTTGCGGGGCCTCAGATCAGGTCAACTGTGAAAAGAACTATTGGTACTTTGTTAAGAATTCTGCTTCCTTTTTTCTTTCATCCTCTGACATTGTTATATTTATTTATTTTCTTTTTCTTTTTTGGAGAGGTTTTTGCTATAGGGCACGTGCGCTCGCCAGACAGACAGAGAGACAGAGAGACAGAAAGCAAGAAATCACCCCCCGGGGGGATGGTCACACCGCAATCCCTTCTCCTCCATTATCCTCTCAGGATCTTGGGCACGCACGCACACGCGCCCAGCGTGAGTTTTAAGCCACCGGGTCCAGGACGCGAACTGCGGTCAACTACATGGGAGTCCAGCGACATAGCCATTACGCTAACTGCTAGTCCTTATTTATTTATTTTTGAGAGAGAGATTTTTGCTATAGGGCACATGAGCTCACCAGAGAGACAGAAAGCGAGAAATCCCCCGCCACCCACCCACCCCCTGGAGGATGGCCACGCAGCAATCCCTTCTCCTCCAGTCTCCCCTTGGGATTTTGGGCACACACACATGCACACATGCCCAGCATGAGTTTCAAGTCACCAGGTCCAGGATTTGAACCATGGTTGTCCATGTGGGAGTCCAGCACCTTAACCACTACACTACCTGCTGGTCCCATCCTCTGAAATCTTTGACAGATATGTCTATACCCAAACAAAAGGGAATGAATCCACCCCTATATTATGGGGTAAAAGTCCTTTGTTCACATGCCAGATACTGGATAAACAGAAGTGATCAGTATTTATGACCAGGTTGAGAGATCATTGTTTGAGCTTTGGTATTGAGTAGCCTGTTACTTGGTTTTTTCTTTCTTTTTTTTTTTTTTTAACTCTAGCCAACCGCAGAAGTGTTTACAGGCTGGAGAAAGAAGAACACATCCCAGATGGGATGTGTATTGATGTTGAGGGGAAGCTCTGGGTGGCCTGTTACAATGGAGGAAGAGTGATTCGTTTAGATCCTGAAACAGGTAGGTGGCGGCAAAATGAAAAATTCCTGCTATGTTTAGAAAATGCCAGGCACGAGTGACTGGGGGAACCTCATTACTAATACAGTTAGAAATATATTCAGTAGGTTCAACTGAACAATGTAGGAAATAAAGGCCAAAGATGTAGCCCAAAATTTATAATGCAAACTTCTTTTCCTGTGGAGGTAAATCTTTTGCTCAAATTAAGTTGTGAGGGCTGGGCCAGATGGTGGTACGGCAGTAAATCACCATGTTGAGGAGGCAATCTCACATAAGAAAACTTTAGTTTCCTTTTGGAGAACTCCCTGATTATGCTGGGTATACATGTGCCCATAATCTAGGGCTGGCTGAGGCTAGGGGTAGGGCATGACATTAAGACCCTGTGGGAGTGCTCTGTCTCTTTAAAAAAAAAATGCTATAGGGCACATGTGCTCACCAGAGAGAGACAGAGAGACAAAGAGAGAGAGAAAATGAGAAAGCATCCCTCCTCCCCAAGGTGGATGGGCATTCCATCCTTTCTCCTCCATTCTCCTCTCAGGACTTTTGGCATGCACACATGCGCCTGGTGTGTTTTACTTTTTTTTTTTTCTTTTTAGAGAGAGATTATTGCTATAGGACATGTGCGCTCACCAGAGAGACAAAGAGAGACAGAAAGCAAGAAATCACCCCCTGGGAGGATGGCCACGCCACAATCCCTTCTCCTCAATTCTCTTCTCAGGATTTTGGGCGGGTGTATAAACACATGTGCCCAGTGCAGTCAACTATGTGAGAGTCCAGCAATATAACCGTTACACCATCTGCTGGTCCCATTGGTGTGTTTTGCAGGCTACCAAGTTCAGAACTTGAACTGTACAGGGAACTAGCAGTTAGCGTAATGGCTATGTCACTGGACTCTCACATAGTCAACCACAGTTCGCGTCCTGGACCCGGTGG